TATTAGGTAATTTATATAAGTAATTATATAGAAACTATATAAAAACTAAATTTGTATAATAACAAGTATTTATAAATGGGCAAAGTAATTTCTATTTCTTAGAATATCTTATAATAAGTAATAAATTCATAAGAAATAATTAGTAATAATACATAAGTATAAATACAGATATAAAACAAAAAAGTAATTATTACTTATATTATTATTTTGCTCATTTCTATATTAATATCATACTGGCCCACTATTGTAAGCTGCATAGTGGTACTCTATTAATTTTTTTTTTATAAGATTTGTAGAACAAATGGTTAATCTTTTAAAACCATTTGAAGAAATTACGAAGCATATTTGTGGATCAAGTTATCCTACCCTAAATCTCGTATACCCTTATATTCGTATTCTAAAAAATAAGTTCGCTTCAATAAGTGAAGAAGGAGAATCATTGGAATCTTGGCTTGATCTTATTTATAGTTTAGAAAAGTTAGATACTACCGATGAGTCAAGCCTCAGTAGTGATAACGAAGCTAACATACCATCAGCTGGAAATCGGCAGCAATGGCAATATACATATAGAAGTGTATATCGCCGTAAAAATCAGGTTACGTATAAAAAGAATAAAAATAAAAATAAAAAAAAAGTAATTTCTGAGTTAAGTGATTCTAATACTATAGAATATTTGCCACCTGCAAATTGTTCTGGGCTTTTAGAAAAAGCACGAGCTGCTATTTTTCTTTCTCTTGATGAATTATGGAGCATATCTGATGAAATGTAGCAGTTTAAATTAATTAACTAATTACATTTTTTTGCATCAATTTATAACACTGCTTGAAGGCTTCTATTTTAGATCCATGAGCATTAAAATTGCTTTCATTTGCCACTATTCAAGAGAAAAAAGAAACTGAAGCCCAGATTCGTGCTGAATTATTAGCATTAGAAACTCAAATAACCAATTCAAACAGTAAAGAAATAGAAAGAAAAACCAATGAAGTTCTTGAAGATTCATTAAGCACTGAGCTATGGGGATCATATTCAATACCTGACCAAGACATTACTAAAGATAAATTTACTCACTATATGAAAGAACCAATTGTTCATAAAAATCATGATCCGTTAATATGGTGGGAAAATAAACGTATTAATTATTCACTTCTTAGCCAACTTGCTCGCAAGTACCTATCTATTCCCGCTACATCAGTCCCATCAGAACGGTTGTTTTCTGATGCTAATGCACATATTTTAGCTAGAAGAACTTGTCTTGACCTAACCTAGTAGATAAGATGCTATTTTTAAAAAGAAATTCTGATCACTTTTCTATGTTTCCGCCTGAAAATGTATAATTTTGTGATCTAGTAAAGTAATAAATAATGCAAAACATATTAGTTTAATAATAATAAATAATATTCCATTCTCTTATAAGAGTTTTGGTTTAAGCAAACAAGAACGCTATTAAAATTGACTTCATGAACATACCCGTATAAGAAATAGTAATTTCTTTTTTCTTTTTTTGCCCAATCAGACGACATATTACGTTAAATCCGGATATCACTCTTTAATCCGAATATCATAGTTAAATCTGGATATCATGATTAAATTCAGATATAATCATTAAATCTGGATATAATTATTAAATCTGGATTTAAGGGTTAAATCCGGATTCAGGTATTAACTCTAGACCCAAGTATATAACTCAGGACCTAAAATATACATTGATCAACAAATGTGAAGGAATTTAATAAATACCAATTTGGGTGCAATGCTCTATTGAAGAACAATAGTAAGATGCCTCTGATATTCAATAGTGGAAACTAAAGTCATAGCTATAAAATTAGTATGATTACTTATTATTAGTTATAGATTTTCTTCTGATACTTTAAATAGTCATATTAGTTAGGAATTCTAATCATTGTAGCAAAGCCCCAAGGTTATCTGTAATGTATAAATAACCTTTAACTTCATGTATCTAAAAAGCAGTAAAGTGTTATAATAATAAAGACTATTGCTCTTTTACAATGCACATGAGCATTATTTTGAAACTATATATATTATTTTTAGAGGGCACAGTTTTCAAAATAACATTCATGAATATTATTATATGAAAATACATTATATAAGAGAATTTAATATAATTTTAATATATACAAATTTATTTTATAGTTTTAGATTGGTATTAATAATAATATTAAAAAATTAAATTGTATTTATAAAAATTCATAATAAAATTACAAAATTACAAAATTTTAAATATTTTAAATCTTATATGTATATATATAACAATTTATATAATTAATTTGAACTAATAAAGTTGCAAAATAGTAGTAAAAATAATTTTTTTAAAAAACTACTTTTTTTTAAAAAATAATTTTTTTAAAAAACTACTTTTTTTTAAAAAATACTTTTTTTAAAAAAAATAAAAACTTTTACTAAAACGCACCTATAGTGTTTTACACCATAGATCCTATTTCTCAAAAAATGTACTAAGTAAACAGGATCGGGTTCTCAAAGTAAAAATGTTTAGGACCCCAAAAACCTTACAAGAACTGAGATCAGGCCCTATCGGGCCCTTATATTAGCTCTATATTATATTATATAAAAAAAAATAATTCTTAATTTTCTAACCCTAACTTTAAATTTTACTAGAAGCAATTATATATAGATGCTAAAACACTATACATCAGGAAGTTTTGAAGGTGTAGGTTAGTGTTCCTATTGAACCTAGGTTCAAAGTTCATGAACATGTTCAAAGTTTTGAATAAAGAAAAAAGCATATAA